TTTTTTTTTATAAAATAAGCTATACGATAGAATCAAATTGATATTATCTTGTAGCATTGTTATACTTTCTGCTATAAATAGAACTGTTACAATTTGAAAATTTTTTCCCACAATAACAAAAGTATTGTATTTATTTGAATACATTTTTTCGTGCGTATATATACACATTCAATAAAACAAGTGTTATAATGGATAAGTCGACCGAATTTATATATAGACTAGAGAATTTTGACCAACTTTTTATCTAAATATATTTATTATTTAGTCCTATTGGACAAAATATATGTATCTCGACTATAGCGAAGAAAAGAATATATATACATATACAAATAGAATGATAGATTGCCCTCGACATATCGTCTGCTTTTTTCTTCTTATCTCTTCTTAATATAAACATTTGTCTATCTCTTTGTAAAGAATGTTGAAAGATATAGACTGGCGATTAGTAGATTGAATATAGTTGGGTATATATAAGATAATAGAAACGGCATATTCTTTTTCATTATACATAATAACACAATAAATTCCAATGGCTTCATCAATGGTATTTTATACATCTGTTGCTTTACTTTGTCTTTTAATAATTACTCCTGTATCAACTGCTGATCTATGTAAATGGTATGGTATTGCTCCATTTTGTTTTATTGGTAATTCATGTCCTGATGGATGCTTTAAAACATTAGAAAGTAACAAAGGTGATGGTTTTCCATGTTGGTTTTCAGTTAAAAAACATTGTTGTTGTCCAAAACGAGCACTTGATTCAATAATCAATAAACTTGTATCAAGCGATAAAAAATAACGCTAAAAAAGATAAAGTAAAGATTACGTATTAAAACTAATCTTTACATTTTCTTTAATATAAATATTAGATATTCGAAAAAAACATTTTTGTGCGTTATTAACTTTTTTTGTAAAATAAAACTTCTAAAGTTTGATTTATTCTTAAATATATATCACTATTGAAATTAAAATTTTTAGTTTTTAGTAATGAATAACAAAAATGTATTGACAATATTTTATACAATCAAAACATATATATAGTCAAGAGTTGATGCTTGAATAAAATTTTATTGTCATAAGAATATATAACCATAGATTTTAATATAAGTTATATTGTTAATATATTATATTTAGAAGCCATGAAAAATTTTCCCAGCTAAATATTGTCTTAATTTATTATTGTAAATAAATAGACTAACAACCAAACAGACTGAACTAATTTCAGCCCAAATACCAAAAAATCCATACGTAAATGTTGAAACTTCCATATTAGAATTAACGATCATTAATATTGAAAAAGGTCCCCAACCAATAACGAATATCAGAAACATATAGATCATATGTTTTAATAAACGAACATGACGCTGATTTACTCTTAGTCTATTATTTAATCTATTATCTAGATTCAATACAATACTTTGAATAGGTTCGATACGATTAAAAGATGTATTAAGTAGCATACGTTGAAATGAAAAATGACCATAGATAAATAGACGTACATTAACCAGTAGAGAAATCAATGAACAAACCACGATAGTAATAACCATTGTATAAATTGATACCCATCGAGGATAACTACAATTCTATAATAAAAACTGTAAAGTAAAAAATGCTTTTATAGTCTGTGCAGTACGAATATCTTAGCCCTCTATTAGATTCGAAAACGATCAAATATTCTTCTATCAGAATAAAAAAATTTTTTTGTTACTATTAGATATCAAAATAAACAATACTTTTTTATTTTTTTATGTATTAGCTACTTTTGCAAAATAAAAACCTGTAAAAATAGATTTTCATTAGTTTTATCAAGTTATAGGTATGATTTTAATATTTTAGATAACTGTCACTGTTATTGAAATAAAATATAATTTCTATGGTACTAAAATATGTCTTACTGAATCATTTTTTGATATTATTACTGTTGCTAAAGCAATACCCATAATCCATTGACAAACAATACATAGTATAAACCATTTTTTTGTCTTAAAAAAAGCTTTTTGATGATATAGAATATAACCAAATATATAAACTGATACCATAATTAATGCAAATGCTAATTGAAAAGTAATCATTACTCGAAGATATGTTATTAAATTGCATGAAAAATTACTTAATAATACTTTTGTATAATGAAACCGAACTGTAAAATAAATAGTATGTATAATACCAAAACATAAGATTGTTAACGACATATTTAATGTAAGTATATGTATACGATGATGAAATCGTTTATTAAATATAATTGTAATAGAATAAATTAAACATAAAAATATAGCCAAAGAGAAAAATCCAATAATACAAAAAAAATATTTTCGTGAGACCGTAGTCGTTGACATAATAATCCGTATATGAATAAAAAAAAGAATTAACTGATTCTTGTTAATGTTGAATGTTTTAATTACAAGCTTCCTTTAAGTTTTACATTTAAATTTACACAACTGTCAATGTTTTTAATAAAACTAAATAAATATATAAGCAAATGAAATAAGAACGAATATTTACTATTGATATACATTAAACACAGAACCCGTGACATTCTCTTCTTAACATGCACTAAGAGAAAAAGTTATAAGATATGATTAACACAGGATGTATGAGTTAAAAAGAAAAACTTTTCCATATTGATATATATTTATTTTACAAGGTAGGCTCTATGACTGATAACAAATTATTTTTTCTGTAGGAGAACAAAAATATCAATATTATTTTCTAGATAGTACAAATATCTTATTAAATGAATTCAATCATTCTTTCTCATATACTATTAATTTCTCATGGTATACTAATAATTATTTTTACTAGAGATTATTCTCACAGGAAATTTTGAAACATTGAATTATCAGTCAATAGATGGGTGTGAGTGTAGGTTTCTCTTTTCTTCGATCCTCACACCCACATTCTCAAAACTGTTTTTTTTTATTTCATGAAAACATTCAATAAGCTTTACAACTAATAAAAATTTTTGTTCAAGTATAACAAGGTTCGGTATTACTTATATTTCATATTAGATGAATTACGTTCTGCATATGTCCCTATTAGCCGTAAACTGCAATTTTTGAAAAGGCAAGGTCGGATGCTTCATTACCTGCCTCTCAATCTATCACTGGTCCCTATCTTTAAAAACAGCTAAGTTTAAAATTTACTGAGTTTCAATGTAGAGAAAAAAAATTCTATAACGAAAAGGTTAATATAGAAAAATATAATACAATCAAAATTAATCTACCGAAGAATAAGACTGAGCAATTATCAGAAAATAAAAAATTTTGTTTACAGATTATTCGTTCAACTGATCGTACATACAAATCAATAATAATAACTATCAGTTACTTATTTTAAGGGAATGTATCGCATTATTTCATCGTTCTGTCTTTTCGTTGTTTTCATCTTATGACTCAATCAAACAAACACATTTTTAGTCGTTAATGTGTACACTTCTAATGCTTCGAGAAAAAAAAAGTTTAACAACAATATTCAGTACAAGTTTTATTTCTTTAAAAGTAAAATCATTTCATTGACGTAAGTTTCATAACCCACATTGACATTACTTTTTCTTTTAATATAAAGATATTATCTTATAAATATAATTTTCTAGATACAATATTTTCTAAAAATCCGTTCATAAATGCCTAGATGGGAAGTTGTCGAAAGAAAATATGGAATTACAAGTACCATGAAAACGAATATATTAGCTACAATAGGTAGTGCTATAGATTCACGTGGTCAATCAGAAAGGTATAAAATAGTCAATGATATTAAAGAATGGCTTGAAGAAACCTATGGAAAACGATGGACTGTATTGATTGCTGATACAGGATCTTATCAATTGAGTGCTTCTCAATATGACTCAAGATTTATGAGGGTTAACGAAACAAATTTGAAATGGACTATTGATGTTTTTCAACAAATTCCATAAGAATTTTAAAATATAGAAGAATTCATAGCAATCATAAAAGATTTTTATTTACAATTGTTATTATGAGCACATTACTATTTAAGAAAATAATTATATATATTTAACTGTATTTTTCTTATCTATCTGTTTGTTATAATAAAACGAAATTAATAAATTTTGTTATCTGATCGTTATTATTGAAAAAAATTCGAATCTCAAAATATATTATTTTTTATTAATTTAAAATTAAAAAACAAAAAGCAGAAAATAAAAATTATCGAATAAATAGTTTCTTTGATTGCATAATATATTAAAATAAAAAATATTCACAGAATTAGAATTTAAAATTCTACATAATCATATTTAAAAGATTGCATGATCTATTAGACTTTTTAATAACGAATATATTAATGAAAAGTAACACTTGCTGGTCCAGTAACCATGATAGAAAATAATCCAGTAATATTTTTCTCATACGTCGTTGCTACTAATGTATACATAATAGGATCGAGTGAAATTCTAAAATAAAATTGGTTATTACCACCACTATCATCATCAGACATCAGTATATTCATGGGTGGATTTAGAGGCATAAAATATAAATAAAAATAACCAAACATATCTATATTACTGAAACTTTGAATTTCATAATAACCAGGAGTTGATATAAATATTTGAATTGGTTTATAATAATATACACCACGATCGCCGTTTGGTCGCTGAAACATCATACTAGTTTTTGTTAAAGAACTTGAATAATTGCATGATATTTGAGGATCTAAAGGTATTCAAATAACAGTAGTATTAATAATAAAAAATTTTGATGTATGAAATATTATACTACTGATAAATTTGCTAGTATTTAGTTCTTACACTGATGTCTTATGCTTTTATTGTACAAGTGTACAGGTCTATCTAGGATTTTTTGAGACAGGATGCAATCGCACTCAGGGCGCCCTCTCCTAAATACTATATGAAAACTTTAGTAACTATCAAAATAAGATATGTCCTGTACAAATTTAGTAATTAATTTTGCACGAAAAAATCATCTCGAATTTTTTAGTGAGATATATTGTGATAAAACATTTGTAGAAGAAAATTAATAGTACCTGGAGGAGGAGATGTACCGGTTTGTTTAACACCTAAAGAGACTCCAAGACTAATTGATACACAAATAAGACATGTGCATATAATACAAAGAAATATTTTATGAGAACGTCTTGATAATTCAAGTGCTCTGCATATATTACGATCGTGTGTTTGATTCTTTGGTAGTTTTCGAAGAGATGGTAGTGTTACAGTTCCATCTCGTACTTGATAGGATACGACAGAATTTCGTCGTGCGGCAGCAAGACGTTTCAAATGATCATCAGGTAGTAAATCCGTGATTTGTAATGTTTCTCGAGTAAATGGACTTGTACCATGTTGAAGTATCCATTTAGTAATAGCTTCTCGTTCATAAACATGACCATCTTTAGCAATAACTGGATCACGAAATAGTTCAAGTGTAATAGGACAAAAAAGATTATCATCATTTTCCGTGTTTAGCACAGTAGTTGTTTGAATCATATTAAAAAATCAACAATTTAAAGTAATGTACTTTACTTTGTTGATCATAAAAGAGAGTTGAAGTATGTTATTTTTTTTTCTTTCTTCCCATCAAATGTCACATGTAATTTTTCTTTTTTCCTTTTCCGGTAATAATGAAAGTACAAACTTTTAATAAATTTTCCAATATTATAAAATTCACCTCTCATATATTTACTTTTTTTTATACTCAGCGCAGAGAATACTTATTATTGACATAAATGAATTTATTGCTGTAAATTAGTTGTTTTTCTCGTGTTAAATAACTTTCATAGGAGAATGATAAAAATTCTATTTTATTGTCGAAAGAGGTCGCATATTTCTTACAGAGATGAATTTTCTTGACTCTAAAAAGACTTTCTTAAAGTTACTAATATTTAAGTGTCTTATTTTTATGAGAATATATTTTAAGGACAAATCTTTTTTTTTGATGCGATAAAAGTCAATAAAAGATGTATATGATAGTCGAGTTTTTACAATAACAGATAGTATCAGTTTTTAAAATATTTCATCGAAATCAGATTTCCTGATTTATTGATTATCTGTTTTGAAAAATAGTTGAAATCTGAGTAAATGTGTATGATTATTATTAGTTTATGAAAGATTTAACTTTGTCCTTTCATTTAAATGTACCCTTACTGAAAACGATCTGTAACGTGAATACACATGATAAATATTGCAATTTTTCTGTAAGTTATTCAGCATTATTATATAATTATTTCTAAAATATTGGTAATTGAAGACAATATTCAAAAACATAAAACTTATTGATGAAAGATCGATCCAAATAATCAGTTGTTCTTCTGTTTTGTTTAGAGTATGATGTCGTATATATCTTCTTTATAATTTAAGAAAATACCATCAACATTTAGGATAATATTCAATCATTACGTGCATTTTTCAATTTATTATGACAGGGAGGGAAAAGTTATTAATTAATCTAATTTGACATGAACGAATATTATGCTTTATTAGAAACAAGAGTTTTTATATTGATTGAATACATAATTCTAACAATTTTCTCTTTGTAATAAAAGCATCGTTTTAAAAATATAATGAACTATATTTGACTATTCCTTTTGTTAGTTAAAAACTTTTACACGATAAAACAAAACAGTCAAGGCATGTAAATTTAGTTTATACTTTAGATTGTTGCTAATGTAAAAAGGTCTATTTAGAATATCTATTTTTTTTATTTATCTTCTAGTGAGTCACTTTTAAGATAAGAAAAGCAACGGACATCATCACATCATATACCTATAGAAAAAGAAATGCGACCATAATTATACATGTACTCGTTTGAATAAAAATGGCTTCCGATAGATCAAATGTACCGTTGATACCTTCGGAATATTATGCAACAGCACAACCATCAAACTCAAGTTATAATTCATATGAAATGGCATCCACTTCTTCTACTCAGTTAAAATCTGACGACGATGATGAAGATATTTGTGAATGTTGTCAATCGAATTCAGAATGTATTGAATGTTGTAACGGTTTCTTACAATTATTATGTTGCTGTTGTGTGTTCGTAGAATGTTTATCATTAATGAAGTAATGAAAACTGACAAAAATATATATTAATCGATGAACTTCGATAACACTATTGTTTTTTTTCTATTATTTTGATATTTATAAAACAATAATAAAAATAATAAAGAAACCTTTTTTGTGTAATCAATAATCAAAGATATCTTGAGTATGAAAACAAAAAAATCATCTATTCTGAATTGCATCATATCCATGTTTATCTCAGGACTTTTCCTTGTTCTATTAAATAAATCGATGATTATTGAAACAATAAACTTCATTATTTTGAATCAACATTGCAAGTATATCGTAAAGTAAAATGCAAATAATTTATAATTTTCAATACAAGGAAACATAAATGAACTTAAATGTTTTTTTACTTTTATTTCTGTCCCGATAAGATAATAAACGAAGAATTTCTAGCGTTTATCCAACCATAATATTCAACAAAATATTTACATAATTTGTGTGACCTAACAAATAAATATGTAATCCAACTTTAGTTATCATTACAACAAATTTAACCGATTACATTTTTGTATTTGTAAGTTATATAATACAATTTTCATAGTTAAATATCATAGAGTTTTTCCTGATTGAGTTCTATTGATACAAATGATTGAATTATAGTAACTCAAAATGTCACACAACCGCTATAAGAAATGTATCAGTTTCTAGAATATGTCAGTCTTTCAAGTTAGCACAATATTTTTATTTATTACAGTCATTTTGAAACCATTATATACTTTATTTTTCAACATACTTTTATTGATATTTTAAAACTTTTTATGAAGAGACAACAGTAGTACAAACTACAACAACAGAAATGCTATACGAACAACAAATATATTTAACTGTCGACTTATATCTATAGTTAAGTATGAGTACGACTTCTTTAAGGATTTGGAAATACTTGATTCGTATGTATACAACCAACGACCTCTTTGAGAGAAACAATCAATTGATTTCGAAATCTTTTTGATAAACAATAGCAATAAAATGAACTCTAAAAAAGAGAAGAATAAATAATTGTTTTAAAAGTAAGAAGAAGACAATTTACTGCGAATGGACCATAATCATAAGTAGCAGCAAATGAATTAATTAACTGTTCCACTGCTCGTCTATAATTATCTTTGACTACATTTGCTGTAATCACTGAGTAAATTTGCCAAGCTGAATATGGACCATTGAACATTAATACAGCAAGTATTTGAAATAATGCCATGCTAACTGTTTGTCTTGTAAGAGAAGAAAGTAATCTTGTTACACCGATAGCTTTCATATGTCGGACAGTGAGAAATCCAAAAATAGAGATCACTATAATAGGAATAATAGTGATAATACAAAGAGCGGCAAAATAACTACGATATTGAGCATAAATTGCATTTGTTGTGATACACATGGGAGTGCCTCCAACGATGACAAGATCTTGAAAGATGAAGTAGGGTATCTCATGAATAGACCAGAAACAAAGAGTACTAACTATTAAATATCGTGCTATTCGAATATTGCTCTTCTGTCGAACAACAACTGATGGAGAAGAACAAATGAAAGCATCAATAGCCTGTAAGCAAATCAAAGTAAATGTACTTTCACTATTAATATCAATAAAACGTAAGCGAGTTTGACACCAGATTCGATTCATTAAAGTAAAATCTATTTGAAAACCTGCACTAAGAATTCGAGTGGTTAGACCAGCAAGAAGAACGTTGAGATCAAGAAAAGTATGAATAAACATGTAAAGTGAGCATGCATTTTTCTTGTAATTTCCCACTTTAATGAAGACGATAATATTAAGAATATTTCCTAATACACCACCAATTAATAGAATAAAGCCTAAAATAAGACTTGGATATCGAAAAGCACTCTGAAGTTGAAGAATTGCTGATGTAATGCTAGTGTTATTGTTAGATGACATCGTCGCGTTCTTTGCAAATACTTTTATGTAATGAGTGAAGATGCTAGTGTCGAAAGATTTTCTTTTTATTATATCCAGTAGGAAAAAAACTTATGACGTAGGAAGACAATTAGCTTTTTTTTTCATTGGAATTCTACTGAATTAACTTTGACATACAAATATTTTTTGCGACAAAATGCATCTGAAACGCGAAAGGTGAACACGTCTGAAAGTATTCCCAGTGAAACAAACGAAGCGCTTAACAATGCGATTTATTTTAGAAACGCGTATGAATGCGTTCGTAGTTTAACTTGCGTTTAACCGTGTTTGTAGTGAAAATGCATCCCTGGTGAAACATTCGAAGCGTCTGAACGCGTTTCATATAAAATCGAAAAGTTTTGAAAAATATAGGATAATTTATCTCAGATTCGAAATGAGTCACCATCAACGACACTTTTCGATGGTCTTAGCCTTCTTCCAGAAATGAAGTTAATTTTACCTGAAGCGATGACGATTAGCTTTAAATAGATGAACCGGTGATCAGAAGTGGTTCATATACACCACTAAGCTATATTAGCTCGAAATCTTTTATCATTCAAAATAAAATATAGCTCAATGCGACTTTCACTGATTCAATACTTTATTTTCATTAAGATGTACTCTTTCCAAAGTTGGAATATTTAATTCATAAAATGATTTTTCACTTATTTTTCTAAAATAATTTTATTAATTTTTAATAGAATAAAATCTTTTTCTATTGTCTACTACACGTAATTAATATTGCAATTTATTTTCTATTGCACTAGTAGCATGAGACACAATTTTATCAAAGAACTCAATAAATTCCTAATTATCCATACAATCTATTTAGTAAAAATATATGATGAAAAGTTATTAATCATTTCATTTAAATAGTAGTATTAAGCAGTTTGTTAAATGGATATTGGATGAATGAAAACTACTACAATATTGCTTCATTATTATTCATACAAACTTTAGAGAAATATGGATTATTTGTGGTGTGTTTAAATGAATTTTAGTATATTTTAACGTCATCTGAACATATTTTAATAAAAAGTCTAACGAAGTCTAGCCGAATAAAATATTTATAAACCGATAATTTCGATCACGAGGTCAACTTTTTTAGAGCAGCAATTTTTACGTTAAAATCGCGTCTCATATACAAGAAGGGAACGCGGATAAACACGCCAGAAAATATGATTAGGTTCTGACACATTATATATAAAAACTGCGTTCGGACGCGTTTCAAAATATTTCAAACTGCGCTTCGGCGCGTTTCATGTTGAGAATGCGTTGTAAAACCGTTTTTAACCGGATCTGGACGCGTTTTATTGTGAAACTGCGTTTCAGTATATCAATTTTGCGTTCCGTGACTATGTGGGTAATGAAGTATCTATGTTGTTATATTTATAATCATACTATTAATTTGTTATCACTACTAATAATTTATAGAAATATTCGATCATTTATTTATTCTGTCCCTAATCTATTTAGAACAATATAACTGTTACTAGAGTTTTTCAGCACTTTTTTTATAAAATATTTCTTTACATGTATAATCACAAAATTAATATATATAGTATTATTGATTGTTCTTAAGTTAGTTTTATTATAAATTTAATTTAAAATCTTCCAAGAGATAATATCACATTGAGTATGTTACAAATGGTAAATGAATCATAAATAAGATCACTAAAGAAAGATGCTTTAAAAACTAAACAAAAATCAATTAGAATCATCTCTTACTATTAATAATAGTATAGATTTCTATTAGATTAAACAATTTTTAACATTCAATGCAACTAATCACGGTACAATATTTATGTTTCATCTTGAAACAAGTTATATGTACACGGGATATTCATTAGGAATTTTTCAACTAGCAGTTCTTCATCATAATTCTGTCATTTTTGATTGTCAAAATATTATTGTTTGCAATCAATAGATTTGCGATTATTTATCGATTTATGTTATAAAGGGTGTTTCAGAAGTTCTGAGGAAATTTTAAAATTTATTGTTCTGACACATAATAAAAACAAACTTTTTCAAACTTTCAGAAGTTTGTGTACATATGTAGTACTACATAACTACAAAGTTTGATGTCTATATCTTTTACTAAAAACGAGTACATGAAAAAACATTATCATACACTATTTTTTCGATTTTTCAACAACATAAATTCATATAATGGAATGTAATAATTGAGAAAGCAATTACTATTTCCTGGGTTTTTTTATTAACGAACTTAAGAGAAAAGAAAAATGTTCTTTTAACCTCCCATGCTCATTTTTGCACGGGACAATTCAATGTACATGTATATAGTTTCTCTTTTTTTTAATTTATTGTTTTAACAAATAATAATTAAGATGATAATAAAGTCGAAAAAATAGTGTATGATAATGTTTTTTCATCTACTCATTTTTAGTAAAAGATATAGACATCAAATTTTGTAGTTATGTAGTACTACATATGTACACAAACTTCTGAAAGTTTGAAAAAGTTTGTTTTTATTATGTATCAGAACAATAAATTTTAAAATTTCCTCAGAACTTCTGAAACACCCTTTATTCTTATTTCAATATACTCTTAGAATTATTTGCTAAAGTAAAGTCGTGTTAACTGAAGTGTGATTTATCTTTGATGGTTTCGAGTGAGTAAGGAATTTGATTATCCCATTTCCACATAATGTTCCTTTACATGACGGACGAAATAAATGACATAGATCTGTATTTGTTTTTGCTCTTGGCGGTGGCATATTCGCTGGTTCAAGTCCAAGAATAATATGCCAGATATGTTCAAAACCTCCACCAAACCATTTTATGCCGGGTCCTCCAGGTAATTCACGATCACGACTAGTTGTACAATATGGTTGAAGACTTGCATTATAGACCGATGACCATTGTGCATATGTATAATGACGAATACGTTCTTTTCTTACATAAAATTGTGCACAACACATAGCCGAAATAACACTATAATCTCTTGATATGCTATAATCTGGATTAAGTTGAGCTTCTCCATTATAACCAAACAAAGTCAATAAGCGTCTAGCACATTTATACATCAATGTAAGATTATCAGTAGGATCACGAAGTCCTGGACCCCATGGTCGTTCTTGAAGCCATATATCATTAACGCTTGTATAGGCAACATCATCACGAATACATTGAACTGCATCAATTGGATAAAGTGAATGGTGCTCTGGACGAGCATGAATAAATAACATTTTATCAGGTAAATCATAGTAATAATCATAAATAAATTTTAGATAAACACCAGCTTCTTCATGAACATTATGACAATATGGCCAATTATATGGAGGTTTTGAATCGGGATCAAGACGTTGATATAAATGAATATCATATGGTCGGGAATTATTTTTATTAAATAAATCAAGTCCTTTACGTAACCAAAGTGGCCAGCTTGAATGATCAGCCCAGTTAATTTCTTTAAATATTGCAGGGATGATAACAAGTTTATTTTTTTCCCATTTACTAGGTTTTCCACCCGAATTTATTAATGGTGAGTTCATAGATAAAGTTGATTTTAATTCTAGAAAATTAGCCGATAGAATTCCTCGAAGATTTTCACTACTAATAAGCAAAACTGTCAAAATACCACATGACAAAATGAAAATAACGATGAATTTAATTTTACTAAATAAAATGAGACAACATTAAAAGTAAACTCTATTAAAATATATAGCTTACTGATTTGCGAATGTAGTCATTTTCGTAACAACAGAATAAAATATTACATCTAGAATATATGTTTATATTAATATATGTAGCAGAATGTTAGAAAATGTACTGTCAAGATATATTGATTAGGAACAGTTTTAATTCAAAAGATCATTTTGTTTACGAAGATATAATCTAAGAAAGTTAAGGACGAGCTTCATTAAATATTTTAATGGTATATTTAAGAAAGGTACATAAAATTAACAAGACTTCAACGAAAAAATATGACATTGAATTTGTAAAGTATATTAATTGCAGAATAGTTGATATATTTCAAGAAAAATTTGATATTATGAAGTTTCTACTATCTTCTTCGATATGGTCTTGAATTGATTGTTTACTTGAATAGTATAAAATTTCATTTCTTACTATCAAGGTTTTAATGCAATAACAGATGATCTTCATGCATTTTTTCATAATTTAGTATTATATGATATTAACGAAAAAAAGACAACCTCGGTATGTTGAGTGCTCGTATTCTCAATATAGTTAAACCGAATATCGTTCAATTCTACATTAGTTTAAGTTCATTTAGTTTAGTTCGAAAAACTAACTCTTTTAATATGATGATTTTAATGATTTTGAAAGTTATAGTCATGAATTATTGCCTTATACTTATGCTCGTTGGTTACTGTTTACATATATCTGATTCGACGAAGAAAAATAAATCTGACAATAACAATTTGATGGATTTTCGACATCAGCGTGAAAATCTGATTTCATTTCTGAACATTTATTGTTTAATTCTATTCAATTTGTTAGTTGTCATCCATATTTCTTACTTATTATTTGTAGTGTAATTGTTGTGAACTTGACTTGCTTGAGTAGACTACCGACGATAGAAGAATTAAAACGGTTTTTTTTAAATGTTGATCGCTTTGTAAACGTTTTTTTCTATTTTATTATTGCCAAATAGCACATTTTTTCTCTTGCTGTTTTACATGTTGTTATGAAAGACATGAGACGTCAACATTCGTTAGCAACTAAAGAAGAACGAAAAAAACGATAGAATAACATTTTGATTGATAATCATCAACACAGTCTATGAAAAAGAATTATCCTGTTTTGTTTAACAAGAAAGAAAAAACATTGAAGGATTTTTTTCCATTCTGTTTCGAGCTTGAGTGGTGTGTTCATCTCAACACATACTCGAACGTTTTTTTCATTCATTTCAAACGAAAAACATGACTCACTCTACGTAAAGATCATCCTGATGAAATAAAGAAATAACTAAATCCGTTCTATATGAATTTTCTCATATACTAATCAAATGACTCTTGAAAAACTCTAAACATTCGTTGAATTAAGGCATAAACAATATTTAATTCTTTCGTTGCTGTCGAAGTTTTAACAGATAAGAACAAAAAAGTAACAGCCAAATAAGCTTGACAAAAATACTATAAGCAGAGAAAACTTAGTATAGAATTCATTTGGATATAGTTTGTCTATCAACCTATCGCCTGTATTTCTCAAGTAATCTAAGCATACCTTTACAGCGTCGAATAATTGTTAATTTCAAGAACAATGTGGTATAATTTTGATGGAGCCGAAATATTTAAATTTTGAAACAGTCCATTATTATAATGATGAATGTGAGAATAGGAGATTACTATAATACTCATCCTTACATTCAAACAGTCACGATCAGTCTAGATGACTTTTCATGCTAGATCCCTTCATTTTTAAATACATTATGCATTAATCAGATATTTACGTCTAGCTATATGGACACAAACTAGACTAGTCATAATGGACTGCAAGTTATTTCATAGACGACCTAATTCTACGGTGGACATCTTAGGCTAGTTATATTGAACATTATCTTTTATTTTTATCAGTTTCGGAGATAAATTTTATATTAACAAACTTTCTCTTTTACTTCCTACTTTTATTTTCATGAATTAACTCTTTTACCTCCAACGAACAATGTATAAGTATGTTCTAATAGTTACGAAACAAATGTGCTACTGTCATATTTTTTTATTTATTTGAAACATCTCTTTATCATTTATCAACTAATATCATACAACTACATTCCTTCTCATTCTGCATAATGATACACATTATCTCTTCTTCATATACGTTTCAATAAAATCCATTCTTTTCATGTATTCTTGATTGCTTCACAGACTATTGTATAAAAATAGAATATTAAGTATTAAACATTATATTCAATAATAAATTGATTTTTTTTATATGAAATAAGTGAAAAAGAAAGCTATTTGATTCGAAATGAATATTGATGCTTAAATCAAGCATATCAGAATAAATGATCAATCTGAATTTGATACAATTGTTAAAAATTGCACAAACTTAATAAAATATTTTAAATCAACTTGTATCTCGTATATATATATATTGAATATTGACGACAAATAACATCATATATATAAAGATTTTGTTGAAAAAAAAACGAAAGATAAGCAGATTAGTTTCATTTATCGTAAGCCATATTTATGATAGTGATAAAAGAAAATCTTTGGTGAAGAGATTTGCTTTTTGTATAATGATTTATCAAAATTTTAATCCTAACTGATATCTTATAAAGCAATGAGAACATAATCAAATAGATTTATTCAATTGTATATTGCGCAAAAATATTTGATAAGAAAAATCAAGAGAATTATTAAAAAACCAATTTAATCTCCTTTTATTGATAACTGAATGCATATAAACTACAAAAAAAAACCATTTGAAATTTTATTTTATCTGTCATGAGTCTTTTCGAAAGACGACAACAATTTCATTTTGATATTATGTCAAAAGTAATCTGTTTTATCGTATTTATACTATCCCATACACTTATTATTGATGGACAACATGTTCAAACAATGCCACCTCAATATGCATGCACAGCATCAAGTCTTACTCTTCGTTGTCCAGCTGGTTCTGTAATTGTTGTTGCAAGCGCTGAATATGGTGTTGCACAAGTCGATGGTTCATGTAGCTATACACCAGGTGATTGTCTTGCTGATGCTATGAGTACAGTAAACTGTATAAGTGATTCTGTTACATGTAGTATATATGCAACAAAAAAGAAACTACCAGAATGTAATAATCAATATGGTAACTATATTCATATTGAATATGATTGTGTTCCAATATCAATAAATGATCCAGCAAAAGAATACAATGTATGTCAACAAAATAGTACAGATATAACAAGTGATCATGGAATATTGAAAAGTCCTGGTTCTCCATCACAATTTCAACTTACAATATTTGAATGTTTTCGTGCTATACATGCACCAGATAATAAAATAGTTCGTTTATGGTTAACTGATTTATATGTTAGTTCAGCAGAGAGCAATTGTCCTAACGATCATGTATATGTTGTTGATAATGTTCAAACATTTCGACATTGTGGTACTAAACGATATGCTTATCCATATTTATGTTCATCGACTATCCTTATTCAATACAAGACTACGACGCAAAGTTCATTTTATCGTGGAATGAGAATGTATTTTGAAATAGTTGATCGATCACCAAATGATAATTGTCCAAATGGATCAGTAACACCTGCACCAGTTACAACAACTATCCCAACGGATGTAACAACAGCTGTACCTGTTTATGTTGTACTTGGTATTGCATCTCCACTTCGAAGTTTTCAAATTTGTAAAGGTAAATTATTTATTCAAACAAACATAAAATAGAATAGAATAATTACAAAAATTCTTTTTCTTAGGTGAATCACATACACTTCAATGTCCAGCTAATTATGTTGTAGCTGTAAGAACAAATATATATGGTGTTACTCCAACGGATCAATGTGAAGATCATGATGCAAGTAAACATTGTGTTCTTGCAATAGATCCAACATTTTATTGTCTACAAAGTTGTACATATATGTATACAGGTAATCGAGTGATTCCATCATGTAGTAATAAAATTGCTGCTTATCGATATGTTGAATATCAATGTATACCATTAAATACTGAACTTGTTTCGCCAAATACAACATGTCCAGCTGATGGTTCAAAAGTTCCTATACAAATCGATAGTCGAGGTCGTTTTCAAAGTTATAGATATGATAGTCCTATTTTAAGAAAAATGAATTGCACATATCGATTAAAAACAAAACCTGGTAACATTATGCATATTTATGCACTTGGTATTAGTTTAACTGATTATTCATCAGATTGTACAAAAAATAAAATATCATTTATTGAAGATGGTGAAACTGCAGGTGCAGATTTTTGTGTAGAACGATCATATAGATTAATTTATTCAACTTGTTCAAATGAAATTGATATGCGTTATATTGTTACAGATGATA